AAATCCTTTGTCAGATTTATGTATGACAAATATTTTCTCCCTGTTTGTGGCTTGCCTTTTTATTTTCTTAATGGTGTCTGTTAAAGTAGAGAAGTTTTAAATTTTGATGAAGTCTAACTTATTGATTTTTTTTTTCTTTACCTAGCTCAGACTTTTTGTGTCTATCTGAAAACCTTTGTATTCCTCATGGTCACAAAGTCTTTCTCCTATGTTTTCTTTTAGAAGATTTATAGTTTTAGTTTCTATGTGTTTGTTTAAGACCCGTTTCTAGTTATATTTTGTGTGATTTTTGGGTAGGGTCAAGGTTTATTTTTCCACCCATATGAATATTCAGATGCTCTAGCACCCTTTGTTGAATAGATTTTCCTTTCCTCATTAAATTACTTTGTCAAAAATCAGCGGAGTATTTATCAGCACCACGATTTTTAATCTTCTTAGAACTCAATTTCCCCAAATCAGGCCATGGCCATTGCCATCGCCAACTTCCTCTCTTTAGAGAGCCTATAGACAGATCAAGCTGATACTTGGGCGAAGGAACCTAGGTCTAATCTCTATTTCTGTATGCAATACACAGTAGGATGTTTTCTGTATTCATAGGTTACTTACTTCATTTTTCTGCAAACTCATAGCAATACACTGTGTTGTGTGTATTTGTGATAGGAGGGGGAAGAGGCTTTCTGGATATAGTCATGGTTTGTTATAGTCTATAAATGAATGTCTGTGGACCTCTGCTTCCATTTGTTTTCTTGTACCCGTGTTACCAGCTTCTAGCTTGAGATACTGGGAAACAAAGGTCATATCTGTAAACAACATTTTGATTTGTGAAGCACTTAACACAGGGCCCAGAGAATGTGAGGAATTTAATCAATAGCACTGGAGTTACAGCAAATTCACTCTCCCTCAGTTTCTTTATCTATATAATGGCATGAGGGCTCATTTCTGTTTAGTTCAATTCAATTCAGTACCATGGGCTGTTCATGTAAAGCAAGGTCATTTGACTGTGGCTGGGGAAGGAGACGTGACCCTTCAACCAAGCTGCTCTGGTTCTCTTGGAGCCTATGGACGTGTGACATCTAGGTAGCCTGGCCTTTGTTCATATCGCATATCTTACAGATCAATATTGGTCTGAATAGTCTTTCAGTTGACTGAAATGGAAGGAACTGCTTTGTAACCATTTGTTACAATGTAACGATTTGTGCCTGTAGACCTGGCTTCCACCTCTACGGCCTAGCTAGTGTTGCCACTCCAGCCCAGGAGAGCTCCACATGCCTTCCCTCACTCCCTATGTTTATATATGGGGAAATCCTCATCCTGATGAGCACTGAGGGTGACCATGAATGGAGAGTGAAGGGCAGAGATATTGTGAAGTGGAAACACACACCCGAGATGAGATGGAAGTTATGCGCACGTGTTTGCCTGACAGCCCCACGAAGTAGCCCCCTGTTGCCATGGTGACAGAGGCGGGTTGAGCCTAAGTGTATGAGCAGCTCCCATGTTTTAAACAGCAGCTGCTCAGTGCCACTACCTTCTCTGAGTGACTGTCCCCCTGTGTCTCTGCTTGGCCCCAGCTGTCCTAATCTCTTTGACAAATGGTTGTCCTTCACAGTGAAATTACTAACAGCACTCTAATTAATGAATGTGCTAATTATTCTTCCTTACGCCCAGCCCATTTGTCTAACTAACCTGTCACATGCAGATAAGTGCGGCATATGCACAAGCGGTGAGGGCGTTGGGAGCAGAGGCCTGGGAGGAGTCAGAGGCTCACAGCCTTGTAGCTGTGGGATAGTTCTGTTAAATTACCTTTGCTAACGGTCAGGTGTCCAGGGAATATGTTATTTCCTGTGAAATGTGTATGCTTTCCTTTCTTTCCTCTTAAAAAAAATCTCTCTTTAGGGGCTGAGGGCCACTGCTCAGTCCACAAGCCTCTGAGAGGACTGCCCAGCATGGGTGCAGAAGGACCAGGGGGTTGCTGGGTCTGAAAACTGCTCCAGAAGCAGCATCCGGGGTGGTTAAGATCCAGACTTTGAAGGTAGACAGGCCTGGGTTTGAGCCCCAGTTCTGTCTTTGGACATGTGGCTTAACCCCTCTGAACCTCAGTTTCATCTTTTGGGCAATAGAAGAAATCATTTGTCCCCAAAGGGTTGTGTTGTGGAGCAAATGCACAAGCTAGGCTCCCAGGACTCAGTGGCTCACGGCCTCGGGCTCTGAGCTTGGTCTGGTCTGGTCTTGGCTGAGGAGGGCCGGGCATAGGACTGGAGACCATCTTGTGAGGGACCCGGGGTGCAGTGCAGGGCTGGTGCTCCCCTCCCCCACTCCCAGGGTGCCCCTCGTCTTTTTGTTCTGTCTCAGCAGCTCTCTATTGAGATAAATGCCATTTCCAGAGCCTTCACCTCTGATCAGTGTCCCTCGGCAGCTGCAGCCAGAACCTTAATGTGCACGCTGGAATTTAATGGCCGTCGCAGCTGACTATTAAAATGCTCTTCCCAGTGAAGGAGACTGGCTCCATCACACGTGCTGTCCACGCTGGCGGGTGACTCCAGGGAGCTAAGCTGTGGGTGTCCCACCAGGGAAGGGGCGCAGCTGCTGAACCTCTTACCAGGTGTTTTCTCAGCCTTCTAATGTGGAAATAGCAGCCCGCCTCACTTTGTGGGGCTCCTGGAAGCTTGGGAAACAAGCAGGAGAGCCTGCCCCTTCCAGATTTCCCAAGGCATCTGGGTGGCCCACGTTGTGTTCTGTTGGTGCGTTTTCTGTGTGCCTGCAGATCGTGGCACACATGCACACACCATAAACATAAACACCGGGCAGGACAGGGGTTAGCATGAGTCTTAAAGACACCAAGCTGTAGGACAGTGAAACTCCTTTAAAAAGTGGGCATTTTAATATGGGATTATAAGTCATGGACAGTTACAGCATGATAGTAGATATTCCCAGCACCTTCCCCAAACCCCCAATCTTTCTTTAGGGACCAATCTCCTTCAACCATATGACAACTATGGAAACTGCCAGGTTCTTTTGCTTTCCTGCCATCGGGTTGTCCTAGGAATGGATATCTGACTATTCAGGGCCAGTGAGATGGTCCTAAGAATCCAAATGAGAGAAGTCAGTCCCTTACAGGTGAGAAGCTATAAGATGTAACACTCCACAGTTGACATATTTTCCACTGTGTGGAGAAAACTGGTCTGCAGAGAGAAAAAGGCTGATAAGCTAAAGAAAGCTTAGAGAGAGGGACTAAGAGAGAAAATCCCATGGGAGTGCTAATTTGCAGGGGGGGGCACAAGAAAGAGGAAAGGGAGGGAGAGAGAGAGAGAGAGAGAGAGAGAGAGAGAGAGAGAGAGAGAGAGAGAGA